CCTAAACCTAACCCTAACGCGTAACGTAACCCTAACCCTAACCCTAACCCTTAACCTAACCCTAACCCTAAACCTAACCCTTACTTTTATGTGAATCGGCTTGCTTTAATTTTATTTTAATTTTAAGTTAATTTATTTTTAATTTTTTTCGTCGTGCTGATGATGACGTCACGTACGCGCTTTCGTCGGGTGCGCTTTAGTGGACCGCGGTTTTGACGGGTCACGGACTTACTTATTTACTTATTTATTTATTTATCTATCTATATTTGATTTCTGTGCAGCCTGTCTTGCTTAATCTTGGCTATGCCTGATCCCAGGAATTGTGATAGGGTAAGGATCCTGTAGTGGTACTGCGGAAAACCATTCTATTTCAAGGAGTTTAGTGACAGAGTTTGATTTCTCTTTCATATTAAAAAAAAACTCTAAAAGTTCAAAATTCAGTCTGAGCCGTGTTTAATCTGGTTCATTTTTATTCTTGCTTGATGAATTAAGGAAAGTAGGGGGAGGAAGCTTCGTGCAACTGTTTTACCTGTATACCAGTAGTTTGCAAGTCCTTGAAATTACAAGGGACCTATCTCGGGGTACTTGTAGTCTGGATTGGAAGTTCTGACAGCCAGGCAGGTCCCCCTTGTGGTTAGGAGACCGCATGCTGGACTCAACAACCAGCCCACACTTACAGTATTTGCAGCACCCCTCAGTCACATGACCACATTTTATAGCAATTTTATTGCAAACCAGCATTTACTTCTGATTTTTGGCAAAACTGGCCCATAGCGAACCATTTAACAAGTGCGGTGTTTGCTTTACAACCTCGGTGGTCGTTTAAAGGTTGTAAAATCTGATCAGTTGATCATATGGATGACCCAATTTACAACCATTACAATTTAGGACCATGATGGGCAGGCTCCATTATGGACGTATGTCAAGGACTACTTGTAGTTCTCAGAACTTTTGTTTTCTATCCCAGAGTTAAGCACAATCATCAAAGTCAGGTCCTGAAGCCTCCTTATCATAGAAGCCAAGACCAGATTTGATTTAAAAAATCCTACTACAGGTAGTCTTGGACTTACAACAGTTCATTTAGTGACCATTTGAAGTCACAATGGCACTGAAAAAAAGTGACATGACAATTTTTCACACGATGATTGCAGCATCCCCAGTTACGTGATCAAAATTCAGGTGCTTGGCAATAGGTTCGTCTTTATGATGGTTGCAAGGTCCCAAAGTCAACCTTTTGCAATCCCCAAAGTCAATGGGAAAGCCAGACTCACTTAACAACCATGTTACTCATTTACCTACTACAGTGATTCACTTAACAAATATGGCATGGAAAGTCGTAACATGGGGCAAAACTCACTTAACATGTGTCCCACTTAGCAACATAAATTCTGAGCTCAATTGTGGTCCTAAGTCGAGGACTACCTGTATTAGCCTTTGAGCTTTGGTACAAGTGTGCTTCCTGGCCTTTTTGGGATTGCTGCATTGTTGTTTTTGAGACTCCCAATGGCTGAAGGAAGAGCATCTTACTTGGTATGTTATGCTTTTACATTTCTGTTTCTGCCTACTAAGATTATTAATGAAGCTGGAAATGTCCTTACCTACTGATGTGCTCATTGTCCTGGATCCTCATTGACTGGTATGTGGGCCATTCCTATTACTATACCATGTCATGCCTTCTGAAAGTAGCCTGCTAACAAGATTTCTTTGTGCTAGATCTCATACTAACGAAAACTTTCCTAAATTTGGAAAGCATTTATTGTAGGATATTTCAGGGGTTGTTGAAAACTCATCTCTTCTTCCCAGCACGAATATTGAATCCCTCCCCCATTCTGTTTTATTGACTTTTTAAATCATCTTAACACTATTATTTTGCTTTTCTGTACTGCTTTTGAATATGGGAAGGAGGGCACATTTATAAACGATTTTTATGGACTACCCTAAAAAAGAAAGACGGATTATTAGCAGGAAGGTAACACCATAGAGTTGGAACTTAATAAGGACAAAACAAAATGCAATGTTATTTTAAACATCAGCAACCTTAAAGGAGAAAAATGCACTGCTTTCTTTTACATGTCCTCCATCACTGTCACTCTTGTTTTACCAGAGCATTGGGTGGTGGTGTGTTGAAAAATAGACCTAAGAAATTGTTGGGTTTGTCCGTGTACAGCAGAAAGGGTATCACAAAAGGAGGGAGTATTAGATGAAGAAACACACAGACACACACACACACACACACACTTCTTTCTGATGTTTTACAGTAGATGGCTCTCCTTCCATAAGTTATAATGGTAAAGGTTTCCCCTGTCCAGTTGTGTCCATCATTCTAGGACGATGCTCATCTCTGTTTCCTAGCCGAGGGAGCCAGTGTTGTCTGAAGACACTTTCCATGGGCAAGTGGTCGGCATAGCTATATGCCAAGATGCACAGAATGCTGTTAGTGGTGCCCATTTATCAACTTACATTTGCGTGGTTTTGAACTGCTAGATGGGCAGGAGCTGGAGCAAGTAATGGGAGCTCATCCTGTTGCACAGAGCTCGGGTCTCTAACCTGGGCTGTCAATATTCCAGCCAACAAGCCCACTGTCTTAACCACTGAGCCATCATGCTCTTTCATACATTATAGTTAGATACTGAAGCTGCAGTTTCAAATATTATTGAATAAAGGGGAATCTACCTAAGATTTATGTATGTGGGACTGTGGACTATATTACGAAACGGCTTCTTTTCTAAGTCCTTCTTGGATAACTTCATATTTTTCATAGGAGACAGAAAATGATGTAACAAAACACAATTAATGATAAATGTTTTATTAGATAAACATCTTTACAATTTGGTTCTCCTTCCTATGGCTTCAAACTGAACTATCACTTTAATAAATAAAGCACCAGGCATAATGTACATTGTTTACAACTCTAAGCTATTAGTTAAAATGATGTCAGTGCAATATGAGTCTAGTGTGCAAAATAGAATCTGGAATTATCTGTAAAATATTAAATGAGCTGCTCTTTGATTTTATTCTAAATCAATACCACAGCTTCTATTAATAAATATAAATACAGTATTGGAGATTATTGAGTAAATATACAAAGTGAATACTGTTATTTCAGAGGTATTGCAACTATCAGTGATCCTTCTATTTAGGAACTGGAACAAAACAGAAAACATAAACTTCCCAATGCATGGTCACAAATTTTAAATAGTTTTTGACTGGTTAACTTATTTTTCTAAGTGCAGACACTGATCTGAAATCTCAGGAGGTAGTACCAAAGGCAGAGAGTCCTCATTTAAAGAGACCAGTAAGTGTAACTTGTCCAAGCAGTCTTGTAAAACTCCCTCTGGATAGTCACTTAAGTGCAAGTCCAGTGGTTTCTGGTGCTGCAACATCTGATCAGCCAGCCCCAAGCAACAGACGGCCAACAAGGAAGGCATGTATTTGTTGAAGGCATAATCGGCCAAGCTAAGTTCAGCCACACCTTTTGCTAGAGCTTTGGCATTGTTGGCTTCCCAAACATCAGCTTCACATGCTTCCATTCGCATATGGGTGAAGTGTTCCAGAAAAAAACTGATGGTAGGAGCTGATAGGTTGAAGTGAAGCTTGTTGAGAATGATGCACTCCAGGTTGCAGAGCTGCTGGCGAGAGAAAGTATCACAGCAAAGGGCCAGGAGCTGTTTCACCTTTGGTGGGTGCACTTCTACCTGTAAAGCACACAAGCACAGAAAGCAATACATGGGAATTTAGGAAGAGTATCTTGGGATGCTCCCAGTACTGTTGCAATACCCTATTGAATGTGGTTTTTTTCCAGTGATAAACAAAGCTCTCTGGGTTATTATTTATTTCTTGACATCCTTAATGTCATTAGTATCCGATTTAATTTAAAATTAAATTAATAAACTGGAAGATTAAAAGACACAATTAACTTGTTCAGATTAACGTAGATTTAAATGGCTTAATCTTGGCTGCAATGATCTTTTTAAGGTATTGATTTCTGAAGCTGCAGCACACATCTCCAGAGTCGGAGATTTGATTGGGAAATTATAAACATCATAGTCTGGATACTAAGATGTTAATATGGTAAGAAAGCTCTTTGTATCTTCCTTATCCATATCCTGTGACCCATCAGAAGCTTTCTGAAAGAATCTAATTGATTATTTCCCTGTTTCTAGATGCTCTCTATGCTCAATCTTACTTCCTTAGGGGAAAAAAAATCTGACAGAATTTTTTTTTAAAAGAGCTCCTGACTTTGGAGAGGTTTCTGAAGGATGGACTGCAGGTGGTTTCAAGGCCAAAGAAAAGACAGGAAATTTCTGTAATGAATTTTCACAATTCATGTCAGGCTCTAAAGCCACTATGTTTCTCCTCTGAAGTATGATATCCTGCAACAAGGTGGATGGAGGTGTTATGTTCTTTAACAGTAGGCTGAGGCCACTAGAACAACACTTATTTGGTTGTTGTTGTTGTTTAAATGAATTTAGGAAAGTGAACAAAGTGACTGATGATTCAGGAGGGAATAGAGCAGTTTGTGATACAGTCCAACATAAAATTGCTTTTTGTGAACATAATTTCAATATTACATGAACAAAGGAAAATCTAGTGATAAGCTATATTGAGTCTTCAGTAGCATTTTTGAACTTCCAATCACATACTTCAGACTTTTAGCCTATTATAACTTAAATAAAGTTTGCTCATGTGCTCTCTCTTAACAACAGCAGATACCAATTGCAAGAAGAAGAGGAAGAGGAAAGAGAAGGAGAAGAAGAATTTTTTCTAGACCCTAGTACCTGTTTGCAAGAGATGAAAAGTGAAGTGACCCCAAGGAGTTGAAAGCAGTCAGCAGCCACTGGGGTGGTTGTGAGAAAACGGTCTAGAGTGTTTACTGTCAGGCACAAGGATTCGAAAGAAAAGCCAAAATGTTTATGTACTGGAATGAGCCAGCTGATCAGTTTGCAACGGGCATCTGTAGTTATCTGGGAAGCCAAGAAAAGAAGACATTAGGATACAAAAGAGGTATCACTGAAATCTACATGCAGCATAGAATACAATGGATTAAAATGTTAGTATGGAAGTATTTCAAAGACAAGGGACTTTATTGCTTACTTCTGATTTCATGATTTAAAGTGCTTTGAGTGTGAATAAATTTGTATAATTGAAATAATGAATGCATTTGCATCCTGAAAACAGCTATTTGTATGTTTACAAAGTGGCAAGCATACAAAAGAACTACCATGTATTATCCTAACAACTAGCTGGTTGCAGGTTATCAATCTGGTCAAATTGGAATAATAAATATAGGATTCTATATAAGTGTAAACAGATAGGAATCTATGAACAAAAGAACAAGTAGAAGAAGAAGGAAAAAAACAGCAATGCAGTCATGCTGCTGAACACAGTAATTGGTATTAATTTACTAAAAATACTAATTGCAATCATATTTGATATTGAATTTATCAGTTATGTTTTTCAAACATGTTTGCAATTTGTTGGGCTTCATTTCCATTTGTCTGTCATCCACACACATTTTATATGAATGGTCAGCTTAACTCTCCTCCTCTATTGCAAAAGAACCAAAATATGTCCCAAGGGTGTTTTTTTCAAGAGGCAAATGGACTTTCAGTTTTTTCCTTGAAGATGTTTCGCTTCTCATCCAAGAAGCTTCTTCAGCTCTGACTGGATGGTGGAGAGTGGAAGGATTTATATTCTTTGTAGTCAGAGCTGAAGAAGCTTCTTGGATGAAAAGTGAAACATCTTAAAAGTCCAGTTGCTTCTTGAAAAAACACCTTTGGGACAACCATGACCTGGATGATTGAGAATTTACATAGACAACCAAGATTGAAAGTGGTTTGGGGGCATCAAACCATAATGTCAGTCATTCCCTACTGTTCAATAAGATCCTCCACTATCTTCATTAGGCTGAATCACCAAGATGTGTCTGAGAATTTAGAAACAAAAAGCAACAGATATCTATTTTTATTAACATCTATGCATTTTAATGTCAAAGCAATGTGCCCGTTGTAAAATAGTATTATTAGAGAATAACTGCAGCATATCCGACAATTCTGTTCAGGCTGTAATGCCAATGCAAATCATAGTCAAAATTCCAAGAATACAAAAGATATAGCAGTGTGTGGTTAACAATGGAAGCAATTCATAAAGGATATATTTGAGCCAAAATACAATGCACATCTGGCATTCCTCTCCATATCACATCTAAGGCAAAGATCCTTTCGAGCTCAGATCCTGCCCCATCACATTGATTACTCTTGCCACTCAGCCTCTAATCCAAATTTTCAAATGTCAGAGAAGCAGCTCTTTTAAGAATGACTGTGTGCATCAAAGTCAGTCTGTGTTTGGATTCAACTATTTTGGTGCAGGTGGTGCACATCAAGGTTTCTCCCTAAACAAAATTGCATTCTGTGGAGGAAAAAAAAGGAGGAGCAGATGGAGCATCCCGAACAAAACCTAGCATTTTTCCTCCCAGAACTGCCTTGTGTAAGGTATTTGTTTGTGTGCATCTTTTGACTTAGTTCAATACTGGCTTTGAATCCTCCACCATAGAATAAACTTAACGTTGGAAAACTCCTATCAGGATAGAGCAGAAAGGAGGAAGACTTTGGCCCCGGAGGAAACTCTGCCCGGGCTTATGGTGGGCACATGGAAAAGAAGAACCGCGATCTCCTTCTGGGCCGAAAGACGGACCAGGCTGGACAGCGACCCGATTTCTCTTCCTCGGATCGCCCTTCTTTTCTTACTTGTGGCTGCTGCGCCAGCGGGTCAAACGGGTGGAACTTGCTCTCTAGCTCCTTTCGGAAGCGGTACCAGCTCTGCCCATAATCGCGGAAGATCTGCCGCTCCAGAGGGCGCATGGGTTCGCCGCGGCTGCGAAGCCGACCCACCGGAGGCGGCTTACTTTTCTTGACAGGCGCGCGGAGCTGGCGGCAGGCCACGGCAGCGTCTCCCGGGGGCTCAGGCCGATCCTCGGGGGTCACGTCCTCGTTCCGCCGCCTCTTGAGTGGAGGGTTTGGCCGCCCGCCGGGAGCCGGAGCCGCAGCCGCGACGCGCTCCTGGCTAATCCGTGTGATGACCATCCTGCGGCTCCGCGCTCCTGGCTGCCTTCTCGGGCAGCGCCGAGGCGAGACGCGCGGGGTCGGCTATATGTTCGGGAGCGCTGCCCCGCCCCTGCGCCCGCCCGCCCTCCGGGGAGGCATTTCTCCGACGCCTTGCCGGCTTTCCCGGCTAAAGAACCGCTCTCGCAAGGCGCCCTGGGGTTTCCGAGCGGTAGCAACAGGAGGTCCCTCGGCCTCGGCGCGCGGGTGTCGGCCCCCGACCTCACGCGCCTTGTCCTTCTGAGGAGGCGCCTGCCATTTTATCTGCCGTCGAGACGGTCGAAGGACCTAGAGACGAGCGCTCCGGTCCCATGAAAACTTTTGAGGGTTTTTTTTTTTTTTTGAAGGCCCTCTTTTACTTTAGATTCCCTTGCCGTTATGTCTGGCCTGATTCAAAAGGTCCGGCCTGATTCCTTGTTTTCTGGAAGCGGGCAGGCAGACTGTCCCCCTCTGGCGCGAACAGGAGAGCCGAGAGGCGGTGAAGAAAGGCGCCATCTTCCTCCTTCGCCAATCTTAACTGCCGGGCCTAAATCGGGCCTAATGCTCTTGAATGGCTTAGCTAGAGTGATTATTAAATCCAGATTGACGACCACTTACATATACATACATACACCTTGTGTGAATTACTATAAAGCTGATATGTTGAGCACATATTTGCCCTTTACACTAAACCACGGGCCTTTTGTGCCCTGCTTTCTTGAACAAATCGCCGCTAGAATGTATACGGAACACAAAATGGCCAAATTATTTTATAATCAAAGCTTGGATTTACACATTGCTAAACCAAACCCCAAAACACAATCGTTTAGCAGAAGGAGTGAAGCTGGGGCAATTCTGTTTGGGGGCTTCTCTCTGGTTTCTGTTACCAAGCTGCCTTCTCTGGTTGGGCAAAATAGAAATAAGCTTAAGAATCCACATCTAGAGGACATCAGGTTAGGGAGAGAATGGATTTAGTATTGGAAGTCTGTCTCTTGAAAAGAGCATTTCTTGAAATATGAAATGGTTAGATTACTAAAATAGCTTAAGGCTGCCTAAAAGAACAAAATCAGAATGCCTGCTAAAGTATTATTTTAAAATACAAGGAACTTTAACTATAAATGGCAGTCGGAAAAATATTCTTTTTTGTAAAACAATTCATGTTACAACATGTACAGTACTGGCAACTTCCTGAAACAAAGTATGTTTTGAAATCACAAATGCTCATGTTAAGAACATAAGAGAAAGCTACTTCAGACGTTTTAACACTAAGCCCAACTACTACAGCCATCGTTTCCACAGTAACCAATCACCCAAGGCCTTTGGGGAAGTTGGCAATAAGACATCAGCACAACAGTATCCTCTCTAGCAGCTGACCCTGAGAAAGAAGCATCCTAGAGGTAACATATATAAGCCTAGCCTTATCCTCTACCAGTTCCTGGATTTCTGCATTACATAATTTCCAAAGTCTCTTCAACCCTTGTTTAATTTTTCTTTAAAGCCATATAAATTGTGGACTGTCACCTTCAGTTTCACAATGTGCTTTATAGATGCATGAAGAAATACCTTTCATAAATCCTGAATCTCATCCCTGACCTTTGTGGAATGATTTTATTTATTTATTTATCAATCCTATTTATAAAGGCCACCCACTCAACTATGGATGATTGAATCCTCATTCTTTTCATTTTTGCTTACTGTATTACATTTCTTTCGTGTATCCTTTACTTACATACAGTTTTCCTATGGAAAAGCACTCAGAAATTGTTCCATATAGTAAGAATTAAGTAAATATATAAGCCACTTAATTGTTTTGGATTCCTTTTTCATATTTTTGACACAGGACAATTAATCTGAAACATTTCAGTTTTTGGCAATGGTGTGTTTAAGACATTGCTTTTGCTGCAAAAATCAAGTTTATATAACTGAAGCTTTCCCAGTCTGTATTGCGGATGAGATTATTTTGGAGAAGTTGCTTGTGGTTGTGGCACCACACTTTTGTGGGACTAAAACCAGAAGATGTGATTTTTAATTATAGTGCCTATGTTCAAACGTGATTAAGTTTATATATTTCTGGACAGTTTTGGGGGAACAACTGTGTACCCTATGGAACTAGATGCATTAGAGGTTTGTGTTGCATTTTATCATTTATAAAATGTTGGAGTTGATACATTTTTGGATATATACAGGTGAAACTCAAAAAATTAGAATATCATGCAAAAGTTCATTTATTTCAGTAATGCAACTTAAAAGCTGAAACTAATATATGATAGACTCATTACATGCAAAGCAAGATAGTTCAAGCTGTGATTTTTTTATAATTATGGCTTACAGTTCATGACAACCCCAAATCCACAATCTCAGAAAATTAGAATATTACATGCAATAGTTCATTTATTTCAGTAATGCAACTTAAAAAGTGAAACTAATATATGATAGACTTATTACATGCAAAGCAAGATAGTTCAAGCTGTGATTTTTTATAATTATGGCTTACAGTTCATGACAACCCCAAATC